GCTGTGTGCATCAGATCACTTTTAAATTGAAAAGGGAACTACTAAATTCTGTTTTGGTGAGGGGACAGACTAGTAGTTTGGTGTTGTGAAAGCTCTATGTGAATAGTTAATTTTTAAAATCTTTGAATTATAAGTTACCAATTACTAAGTTGTAATCTTATTGAAACAAAACAGTACAACATTAAAAATGTTTTGGTTTTTTCATAAAACTAATTACAATAATTCACAGGAAAATTACTGGTTACTTGTATGGTTTACTAAACCTTGTGATAGCTGTTAAAACTGACAGTTTTTGCCCCAGCCAGTGTGTTCAGTGGGTATAGAGCATTGGTTTTGCACTGAAGGGTCATGGGTTTGATTCCTGAGCAAGGACACATACCTGAGTTGCAGGTTTGATCCCCTGTCCCAGTTGGGGCAGGAGGCAACCAATTGATGTTTCTCTCTCATGTTGATGTTTCTCTCTCCCTCCGTCCCTTCCACTGTCTCTAGAAATCAGTGGAAAAAATGTCCTTGGGTGAGGATTAACAAAAAGAAAACAAAAAAACTGACGATTTTTATTTGTGGTATGAAGAAAAGGAAGTGAAAACACTTTCAAGTTGTTTTAGAATGAAATCAACTTTTTATTGTCTGCTATTCACCACAGTTTATATAAAGACTAAATTAACCTAGCAGGATGTATAAATGTATATATACTTTGGGTGTGTTTAGTAACAGACCAAGTATATCTTAAGTCTTTGAGCTGCTATCCACATAAGGCTGGAGAAAATTATTTTATTATTTCAAGTATTACCTAGAATAATTAATGTAGCTATCAAATACTTATATTGTAGATTATCTAGTCTTGTTTCTCCTGTTGAGTTTACATTTTGACTGCCTCTTTGTACCCATGCTATAATTGGTATAGGGACATGAGGAGGAAGTTTAAGTCATGTATCTCATGTGATTATTTTTGTCCTCAAATGACCTAATTATTGGTTTTTATACCTAACCCCCAGAGTCTTTTTAGTGAATAATTATACTTAACTTTGCAGATGATACGAAATTTATAAACAAGATTTAAATTTCTTAAGCTCCTATGTAACTTCTGCTGTGTTCCATTTTACACAGTGCCTTGGTGACCTCGCCAAGGATTTTATGCCTCCTGGTAGTTCTTGTTGGATCAGGAGCTGGAAGAATGAGGTCTACTTTTGACCAAACATAGGTCAGAAAGAATTGGTTTCAGCCATTTGATAGGAAATTGGGGGTGGGTGGGGGGGGTGGCCTTGGACTCTCTCTGCAATCAATGTGGAGCTTCAGAGTTTCTTCAGGTAACAAAAGGCTATACATAGATTCTGTTTTAGTGAGAAAAATCAAACCAGTTATTCAGATAGGAAATTTAATGGGACATACTACATCTATGAAAATTAGTATATGCTTTTTGATTATACATGTTCTTTCTTATCTAGCAATGTCATTTATAGAATTAAGTTTAATAAATTTGTTTTTAACAAAAGGTGCTCATTGGAATTTGATTTCTAAGAAAATATCAGGGCATGAAAATGGAAGAAAAAATGATCTTTGTTTTTTATTTGTTACTTTTTATAGTATATTCAAGGCTATAGTATATTTAGGATTGATCATTTGCTTTTGGTCTGCTTAATAGTAAAAGAAAAGGAAAGATGAGTACTAGTGTTTTCTGGAAGATTTTTGCCATTACTTTTTTAAAAACTGTAGTGGGTAAAGCTAAATATAAGCTTTCAGAGCTATATTATATGTTGAAGCAGAGTTTAAACTGATTAATACTGAAATCATTTATCATCATCTTTAAAACTTTCTGTGTATACTGATACCCACATATTCTTCTTATATCTCCTAAATTTCTTTATTCTACTTTCTGATGTTTTTCTATTATTCTTGAATTTGTGTTTTCTTTCACAGATTCTTTTTAGCATTTATTTCAAAATACCTGACTTGTTTATAATTCTATAATATTGCTATAATTCAAAGGTACTGCAGTGAAACTTGAGCTTTCTAGTAGTTAGCATTCTAGAATAGCTTGGCTTTTCTAACATCCCAATTAGGAAAGGAACCAGAAAAAGATACTAAGGCCTTCCTGGCAGTGAAGAAGTAGTAGCTCCTAAGCATTGAATAAAAAAGAATATAGTCAGAAGAGCCAAAGACTTGGAGGTTAATCCAACACACTATTCTCTACTGGTTTGTCACATGGAAGGGAAGGATTACTCAGAATGGCTAGTGATGTCTCTTCTCATAGGCCCTTCTTTTTATGTGAAAGCTTGAAAGTGTGGCAGAAGTTATAAGAAAGGAGAAAAGGGACTACAGCAACCTTGATTTTTTTGGTGCGGTATGGTTATTAGAAATAGCAATGAGATTCTTAAGTAGCTCATATTCTGACAGGGCAAATAGTACCAATGATCAAAAAATCAACTGTATTCTCTCGTTAGCCAGAAATTAATTTGATACCGTTCAAGGCTTCGAGTATCTCTAATGGGTGAAGGTAAATGGTATTGCCCACAGCAGGAAATTAGGGATAAGACAAATTGCCAATATACTAGAGTTTGGGGAATCTTACATGGGAGATCAATGGACATGGAAGGAGGTAGAATGTGGGAGATGGGTACAAATGGGTACTTCTCAGTTGCTCCTTGGGAAAGCATTCTGATTATATATCAATATATGTCGTATTTTAGAAGGGCATTAAAAGTATAGTACAGTGAAAGCAGTGCCTTGTACTTCACAAAATCTGTAAGATTTATATATCAGCTATCATGTAATTGCTTACTAGTGAGAATTATAACATTAAGGAAAATTTTCAGTTGTGTTTTCTAATACATTGCCTTGTTAAGATGGTTGAACCTATCTGTTTATTTTAATTTTTTTTCCTCTTAAAATGTTTTCTTCAATTTTATAATTGAGTGGAAACATTCTTTGAAAAATTATACTCTAAGATGTTGAGAAAGTATATAGCACACCGTAGATTGCATTAAAAGTTAAAAAAAAGTGTCAAATGTTGAAATGACCCATCTTCAGATACCTGGAAACCCTACTATATAAAATTTATCAGAATGATTATTCTGATAATTTTTGCCTTTTCTGGGTAGAGTTTGTAGTCTCCCACCAGGCTGCGTGTGTTACTTTTCAGCATAGAGATTTACCGGAGTGGGTAGAATTGGCAACAGAGGAAGATCTGTAACTAAGAAGGATATATTTTGTTTGTTTCTTTTTTTAATTTCTTTTTTTTAAATTTATTTAATTTTATTTTTGTTACAGATGTTTCTCCTTTTTTACCCTATTGATAACCCTCCTCCCCACCCACCCCCTCGCCCCATCCCCAGCTTTGTTGTCCATGTCCATTGGTTATGCATACATGCATATAAGTTCTGTGGTTTATCTCCTCCCTCCCCTTCTACCCCTTCTTCTGGGGATTGTCAGTCTGCACCCTACTTCCATGTTTCTGGGTCTACCCTGTTCCCCAGACCGTTATGTTCATTATATTCCACAAATAAGTGAGATCATGTGGTATTTGTCTCTTTCTGCTTGGCTTGTTTCACTTAGGGATAATACTTTCCAGGTTCCTCCATGTAGTCTCAAAGGATAAGAGATCTTTCTTACAAGCTGCATAGTACTCCATTGTGAATATATACCACAGCTTTTTTATCCATTCGTCTACCGATGGACACTTGGGCTGTTTCCAGATCTTAGCTATTGTAAATAGTGCAGCTATGAACATGGGGGTACATATATTCTTTCTGATTGGTGTTCCAAGCTTCTTAGGGTATATTCCTAGAAGTGGGATCACTGGGTCAAATGGAAGTTCAATCTTTAATTTTTTGAGGTAACACCATATTGTCTTCCACAGTGGCTGCACCAGTCTGCATTCCCACCAGCAGTGCACTAGAGTCCCCTTTCCTCATACCCTCCCCAGTTTCCGCAGCCTAGGCCAGATTTCCTGTCTTAAGCATTTTCTTGTGGGCTGGAGTGTTGTACACTGGATAGATATTAGTCATCAATTTAACATTATGGACTTTTTGCTCCCTGTTAGAACATTGGTGATTGTTTTTGTAGGAAAAAATTCATTTAATTACTGTCGATACTGTTATGTTAATTGAAGACACAGAGGCTCATTGTGACTATCATAAACTGTGAGTTGAAACTGGTCAACAAGGTATTATGGTCCTCTGAAGGATCTGTGAACTGCAATTAGGACCCTTTTTATAAAGTATTTTTTTGAGTGTTGATGCTTATTATGATTTATAGTAGGGGAAATAAGCCAGATTATCTAGTTCCTCTTGAGGAAAAATAAGAAGTTAAGAGCATGAATAATCAATATGCAGCCAAGTAGTAAATTTATATACATTATATATATATTGTTATTAGTAAATTATTCAATTTCCCACAAAATTATACAGATATGTACTTGAGTTTTATAAGAATATGCTTAAAGATTTATTGTCTACTATACTTCATAAGCACTGAGCTATAATTTGCATGATATTGACCTGAATCCATCAATGCCTATCCAAGTAACTTTCATAGCTCCCAAAGCCTTTTTCTTTTGTTTACAATTTAAATTTATTGTAATGTTTAAAAAAAAACTTCAAAAATGAATATGCAACCTAAAAACTAATCAGGGTGAGTTTGATGTTATGGCACTTACAGTGTAAGGGGCTAAATTAAATTTTTATAGGTAATAATTAGCATTTCTGGTTTCCTGCTGTCTCATTATTTAATATGCTCAGAAACTCCTGGAACTTTGACCAGAGGTTGATGATGGTAAACCTGATTGTTTTCATATTTTCCCACATAGAATTTACACTTGTTTTTCTTTTATGCAGTTGTTGGTATATTTCTTTTAATTGAAAATTAGTTGAAAATTACAAAACAAAATAAGTTTGCTAAATCACATCAGTGGACTTAATACAGCTATACTGTATGTGAAGAATTCTTATAAAAAATATGCTCTTTAATTTTCCTCAGCTCATTTCCCTCTTTTGTTTTCAAAGAGAAACTGGTAGTCTGGGTAGATTCAAGTCATCTTTAAGAGAAAATGTCTTGGGGAGTCCCAGAGAACTGATGAAGTTAAGTGTGCCATCATTAGTGTATGCTGTTCAGAACAACATGGCTTTCCTGGCTCTCAGCAATCTGGATGCAGCAGTGTACCAGGTAAGTGGAACAAATGTTAGTGAAGAGCAGAATCTTAAAAAGTGTTTTTATGGTGAAATTATCTTTATTAACCCTTTATCACATTATCAGATGTTTTTCTGGATAATTCTATTAATGATACCAGAAATAGTTGTGTCAGAGACTAATGTTAACTAAATTCATGAATTACTTTGTTTCTAGGTGACCTACCAATTAAAGATTCCCTGTACTGCATTATGTACTGTTTTAATGTTAAACCGGACACTCAGCAGATTACAGTGGATTTCAGTTTTTATGCTATGTGGTGGAGTCACACTTGTACAGTGGAAACCAGCCCAAGCTACAAAAGTCATGGTAAGAAACAATGTGCTTATCATAACTAAAATAGGAAACTTCCTGTCTTACACACTTCGGTCACATTTATGAATTGGAGCGTGATTATATTTCTTTGACTGAAAATAATCTTTGCCCTATGGGAAGGAGGGGAGAAAGGGGGACATCTGTAATACTTTCAACGATTTAAAAAAAGGCACACAGTAGTAGGAAAAAAAGAAAATAATCTTTGCTCTATAGACTTTTTTAATCCCCTTAGGATATATTATTGTTTTTAAGGATAATGTAACTTATTGGCTTCCTTTCTTTTTTAGAGGGAAATACACATTAAATGTTAGAGATGGAAGGTACCTTAAACTTAATGTTATCTACCCCCTTAATTTTATGCATGACAAAATTGAAGTCTAAAGAGGTGAAGTTAACTTGTTCAAAGTTACAGTTAATACTTAACCTGTGACTAAAATTGTGACAACTTCTACATAAATTGTGTATATTCAGAAGTTCTAGGCTTCTTTTAGACATTTTCTCAGAAACATTGGGCAAGGTTTTGTCCATCTAATTTTCTTTTTAATTTTTTTTTCTTTATTGATTTTTAAAGAGCGACAAATATTGATGAGAGAAACATCGATTGGTCACCTCCTGCATGCCCCCCACTGGGGATTTGGCCCACAACCTGGGCTTGTGCTGTGACCAGGAATCGAACCAGCGACTTCTTGGTGCATGGGTTGACTCTCAACCATGGAGCCACACCGGCTCGGCTGTCCATCTAATTTTCATCTCTCCTCACCCCCCACTTCATAGTTTTTTTTATCCTTTTTAAAAAAAATTCTCACTGGAGGATGTTTGCTGATTTTAGAGAGAGAGGAAGGGTGAGAGAGAAACACTGATTGGTTGCCTCTCGTATGCACCCCTGCCAGGGATTGAACCTAGGTATGTACCCTGATAGGAAATTGAACTCACAACCTTTTTGGTGTACAGGACGATGCTTCAACCAACTGAGCCACAGTTTTTTATCCTTTTACTCATACCCCACTGTCAGTGATAGAGATTACAGGGGAATATTGTTTTTACTGATAACTAAAATAGGGTAAAAAGTGTACTTTACTTACATAACTTTTAGTTTTTTTAAGGGACATACCTGAATTCTTAAAATGTTATATGCTTTAATCAGTTATTTTCCTAAAGAGCAGTAGAAAGTAGAACTCCAGTGAATAACTTCCTGAAAGTCATTAGTTTCCTTCTATACCTTCTACAACTGAAGACTCTTCAGCTTTTAGTAAATCAAAGTTCTCTTAGGAGTATAGGGCAACTGGGGATATAAGGAGAGCTTGTGAAAACAGGAAGTCAATTCCTTTTTAGGTAGTTACTTTCTAGCCTGGTGGATTTTTTTCCCCCCAGGAAAATGAATTTTAGATGAATGTTTATTATCTTCACATGTTTAGACATGCTCATATTCTTGGTGACATTTCAAAACACTGATTAACCACGCACTGCACATTTAACTCAGTTGTAGATCTGCAGAGAAATAATTTGTTGGGAAGTAAAGCAACTATAATTAAAAGGTAAATGTGAACTTTAAGTAACACCTCATACCATTAGAAAAGATTTTAAGTCCACCTCACACAGGTAATTTTAGTAAATTAAAGCAGAGCACTGTATAGGGCAGCTTATCCTACTTTTGGATCCCTCTAGAGCAGCACTTTTCAACTTGTGTGCCACAAGAACTTTTAAAACATGCAATACGTGTTTAGTCAGGGGCAGTGACCTCTTTTCCCTTAGATTGTCAAATAAAAAGATGACAAGACCCAATACAACAATAGCTGTCTGGTATCAATGAATCAAAATATTTTTTTATCAGATAGGCAGAAGATATATTTCTTTGGTGTGCCATGGAATTTTAATAAGTAGTTTGTGCGCCACGAGATAAAAAAAGTTGAAAAATCACTACTCTAGAAAGGTCTTGCATACTTTAAACAGAGTTCAGCTTCCTATAACTGCCTCTCATTGTTCTTGTCAGAATAACTCAAATTCTTACTAACTCCCATAAATCCTCTGAATGTTCGAGGACAGTGTCACATTCTAAGTCTTTTTTTTCTCATTGAAGCAACTTGTGGTTTCTTTCTATAATACGATTTCTAGAGACTTCCTGATCCCTTTCTCTTGCCTCAATACTTCCTGTATTCCTTTTCTAGATGAATTCATCTGTTATAGTTCCTCGGTATGTCTTAAAACTTCACACTCTCTAGATTTTGACTGAGCAGTGTGAGGTATAACTTGCTGCCAACTTTGTTCAAAATACTAGCATAAGATTCTATTTGTTTTTGGGAGAATATCCATTCTGTAACTGATTATACACAACCACATGTAGCTGTTTCACACAATTACAGTTTATTTCAAATGTTTCTTGTGCAGTGGGCTTCTTTCAAACCAAAATGTACGATGTGTTTGTATTTAAGCTTCTCTTTGCTTTGGATCATTGTTCAGGCCTTTGAGGTCTTTCTAGTCCTTATCCAGTATTAGCTTTTCCTTTGAGTATTATGCTTTCTACACATTCTACAAATATGTCTTCTGGGTTGTCACTGAGAATTCTAGACAGGACAGGACCAGAATTCTGTAGCTATACCATTAGACCTCCTTTTAGCTTGACTTTTTTTTCTTGTTTAAGAAACATTTATTCTCTCTTAGTTTTATGGGTCAAGAATTTGAGGGTGCCTTAGCTAGGTAGTTCTGGCTTGAGATCTCTTTTAAAAAAAAATCCTCACTAGAGGATATGTTTATCTATTTTAGAGAGAGGAATGAAAGAATGAAGGAGAGAGGGCGAAAGAAAAGAAAAAGAGAAAGAAAGGAAAGGAAAGGGAGGGGAAGGGAATGGGAAAAGGAAAGGAAAGGAAAGAGAGAAAAGGAAAGAAGAGAGAGAAAAAGAAAAGAAAAGAAAGAAATATCAATCAGTTGCCTCCCTTAGCACCCTGACCAAGGATGGAACTTGCAACCTTTCTGGTGTATGGGATGATGCTCCAGCAGAACCACCCAGCCCGGCCAGCTTGAGATCTCTTAAAGGTAGCTGTCAAGATATTGGGTAGGGCTGCAGTCAACTAAATGCTTGAATGGGCCTAGAGGAAGTTTCCAAGGTGGCTCATTCATATGGTACTGGTTGTTGGTCTAGTTTGATTTTTCTGTATGAGCATTCACTCAGCTATGAATAGAATTGTACTGTTATCCTGACTTTCCATCTCATTCACAAACATATTATGCAAATCTGTCATATTTCTTGCTAAGCATTATCTTTATGGAATTCCTCTCATCACTTATACTAGGAATTCCTTTTAGTAAGGAAATTTGATAGGTCTCACTCTTAGGGAAGCTATACTGTTTTCTAGTGATGACCATTAAACTTTTTGTTCTTTAAGTCATCTGTTGTAGCATTTTGCTAGTAGTCAGTAACAACAGTAACAGCTGCAATCAGTTATACTGCACTAAATACCAGTAGTGCTCTAAGTGTTTTATGTATGTTAACTCGTGCCTACAACCATATGAAGCTGGTATTGTTTTTATTTCCACTTCAGATGAGGAAACTGATAGGCACAGGTGGTAGGCCTGTGTCTAGTCATGTTGCTTGCCTCCAGGCAGCATGGCTCCAGCTGTGCTCTTGGTAACTGTGCTGGGCTGCCTTACAGGTCTCAAGCAGCTGTCTGTAATTTCTATAGCTTTTCTTTTCTGATGCCTTTGGAAAAAGAGACAGTATTTGCCTAATTCAGATTTTCTGGTTTAGCTTCCATTCTCCATTATTCCTTAAAGACATAGTTATTTGTATCGATTTGCTACTTTTAAATTTATTTTATTTAGTTAGGTATTTTCCCAATAGCAGATCAAATGTCTTGGACTTCAGTTTTCTTTTAAATATGTTATTACTGCCCTGGCCAGTTTTGCTCAGCGGTTAGAGCGTCGGCCTGTGGTCCGGAGAGACCCGGGTTCGGTTCCCGCTAAGGGCATGTACTTCGGTTGCACTTGGTCCCTGGCCCTGGTTGGTCGTGCGGGTGGCAGCCACTCGATGTGTCCCTTCACGTCGATGTTTCTCTCTCTCTCTCCCTCCCACTCTATCTGTACAAAAAATGGAAAAAAAAAAATATCCTCGGGTGAGGATAAAAACTAAATATGTTATTACTTATTATTTAAATTTATTATTCACAGAGAAAATGGAAAACAGATTTGGGTAGCTGTTTTCTTGCCTCCTAACAGTGTACCATCTTGCCCAAGAATCGTACTTTTTTTTTTTCTCCTTGAACTAAATATATGTTTAAAAGCTTTCTTTAATGTTTTAAAGTATTTTTGCAAGTCTCTGCTTATTCTGAGTTTTCAGTTTCTTGATACTGCAGTTCTTTTGTATGTTCCTATAAAATCAGAATTCATTGAAGATGCTCTTAATTAGTAACATTGATTTCTTTTCTTTTTCCCTTCATCAGAATCTCATTCTTTGGAACCTCTTACCCCTCTTAAATCATCTTCCTTTTAACTATGGAATGCTAATTTTCCATTTGCATTGAAAATTTTATACTTTTTGAAGTTTAAGATGGGAGCTTATGTCTCTTAACTGTGCTGTGTTTGGCTATCACTCATGCAAAAATGACATAGTGGCTGTTCTCCAAAGTTTCCATCACTTTCACTTCATCCCCTAGGAGTTTCTTATTAGTCAGAATTAAATCCAGAGGAGCATGTCTGTCACCGTTTTTCCTCACTGTAGAGAGTGAACTAGCAGAAAAGCAAGCCAAGAATGTATCACATACTATTTTTAGTAGCTTGACCTTCCTAGCAGTTGTTGGGATAGGTAAAATCTCACACCATTATTTTTATCATATCTATGCCAGTCTTGTAGTTTGTATTAGATATTCATGTTTATCAGTTGTAGCCTATAGCAATAGTCTCAAACTTTAGTGCACATCAGAATCAACTGGAAGGTTAAACAGATTGTGGGTCCCACCCCCCATAGTTTGATTCAGTAGGTCTGGGGTGGAGCCTGTCAGTGTTAATTTCTAACAAGATCCCAGGTGATGATGTTGCTGTCGGTCCAGAGACCATACTTTGAGAACCACTAGTCCATAATATCTTCTATTTCTCCTTTTATTTTCATGCAAACATTTTAGACAAAGCTTTTCTTATTTAGGTACTTAACATGAAGTAATACTCTCCTTATATCAGGCTTTTTATTTTGAACAAGGTGTATGCTTGTCATACATATTATAGTCATGGATCTCAACACTTTAGTTTCATTGTTAGTACAGAAAGTGTATTTATCTCTGAGGAAAGACTGATGAAAGCTCTTGAGGGAAGAAAAAGGAAATAAATTTCAAACAATAGATTGGAGCCCATGTTAGCACAGTACTATGATTATATATACCTGAATCTCTCCTATCCATGAACTATTTAGGAAACACAGCTGTGTATCTTCATTCATTTAGTATATAACATAGTATATCTGATACAGAGGAAGTATGCTCTTACTATTTGATAAAAATTCAGTAAAGTAGGAAATGTTAAAACTGTTACTGTTTCTGTCATTGGTGCTATAAGGGCTTGAGTTGGGGTGGTGGCAGAAGTTAAAATTAAGAGGCAGGCTGACTATGCAAAAATCTATGCTAGGGTGCCCATCGTTATTAGGAAGCGGGCACACAAGTTATTTTAAGCATTTATTATGGCTGCAATTTGAGGGTCACATTTTTAACTTACCAGCTTTGGTTAATCTCTGGTTGGCCTTTTGTTTGGTCCTTAGTCTGTAGAATACCTGTGTCTGATATGGCAAATGCTTACAGTAGAACAGTAACACAAATTTTGGTATTCACTTATTTGGTCTCCTAGATGAATTCTATTTATTAGTTGCTAAAAATAACTTAAAACATTACTATTGCAGGTGGAACAGAATCCACTGTTAGGGTTTGGCGCTATAGCTATCGCTGTATTGTGCTCAGGATTTGCAGGTAAATCATAAAAGTGTCATTTTATTCTGTTGGCCAATTTTTAAAATATTAAACTTTAAATAGGGATCTAGTTGATCTTGTTTTATTATAACTAACAATTTTATTTCCATTAAAGCTTACCTTCTTACTTATAGTTTAGTTTTATGTCAGCTATTTTTTCAGTAAATGCATGGTAGTGTTTAACTCAGTTCAGACCTCAGTCATTCATACTTGCAGTTATCTGAGAATATACTTGTCCTTGACCATCCTTAGTCCAGCCAAGAACCCAAAAGTAAATGAAAAGACTTTTGAAAATGGAAGAAGTTAGCCATCAGAAACTCCTAGTACCTCTTTTCATTCTCTTGGAACTGTCACTATCCTCAGACTAGATTCTGCTGCTTTAGGGTGTTAGGTACTTGCTGAGTATGTTTTTCCCTGGTAACTTCAAGTTCTTCCTCTGCTTCAACAGGGAGAAAAAAGGGGTGGGTAGACAGTACCACAGAAAACTTAATACATAAAAGTAAGCCAAAAACAGAGGGACAAGAACCAAAATCACTAATATCAAACAAACGAGGAAGTCTGGAATTGTGTCTGGACAAGCAGTCCTCAATCAAGAGACAGTATATGAATGTGTAACATAAGAAATTAAATGTGTTTTAAATAGTTCCAACAGTGAAGAAACTGGAAGTTTTTTTTTAGTAAAGAGTATATTAGTTATAGCTGTATGTCTTTATTATTTATCTTTATTTGTATTATTTCAAGAGTTAGGACTCGGCTTTTATTTTTGACTAGGAAAGTAAGCTGGATATGAAAGTGAAATATTGCTTGTAAAAAAGATGTTTGATAAGGGGGAAATCTAAATTTGGGAATATACATGATAGTATCATGCTAAACTTTTATTCTAAATAACTGGCAAATTAGAAACAAAATTGAATCACCCCCAAAATAATATACTATGTGATTTTTGGCATTGTTTTGAACAATTAAATGTTTGTGTCCACATTCTATTTAGTTCAACTTCTTAATACATAATTGAGGAAATGGTGGATGGGTTACTATTCTTCCATGCTGGAATAACTGAGCACACAGTAGTTCAGTGGTTTTCTCAGATAGGAAATTCAAAGATGGAAATAGGAATAGCCATTATGTTTGTTCCCATTCTCTTGCTCTTCCCAACATATATGTTCATCAAAAACAATCTTGTAAAAAGGAGAAACATCTGTAACAAAAATACATACATTAATTAATTTAAAAAACATCTTGTTTTTCATTAGAATTTTTAGTGGATTAGTACTTTAGTGGCAATTTCAAAATCTCCAACTAACATGGTATTAAAATCTTTACTGTCTTTGTTAAATGTGTTCATTTTAGGTGGAAAACTTATAGCAGTGTTATGTGATTTGGCTGGGATGGCGGTTTGTGTCATGTGCTATTTTGGAGTATCTGAAAAAAGTTGTGGACCCCTAACCACAGAAAAATGCACATACACACAGAATGTATTATCTACTTACGGAGTTCTTGCTCCTTTGACATTGTGTATGAACTTGGCTTGGGGAGTCTTGCTTTAAAGGAAAATGGCTCCATTCAACAAATTCTATTTAATTTGGTTGTGTTACTTACTATGAAAAAATCCCAAGTGGTGATTATATAGGTCACTTTACAAAGTTGGGAGTACTCATTACTAGGCAGATATTATAGGGGTGTAATTAGGATAATTGACTCTAATGTATAGTTTTCCAGCTGACCAAGGCAAGTCTTTTATTGGCATTAACGGAGTTTTTGTGATCTGCCTTACTGCTATAATAATGGCAGAAACTGTTCTTAACAGTAAGAGTCCTGATAAATGTGAGTTAAAAAGTTCCCTCTTAATTATTAATTCTCTGTGCTCTCTAAAAATACAAATTGAGCCCTGGCCGGTTTGGCTCAGCGGTTGGAGCATCGGCCTGCGGACTAGAGAGTCCTGGGTTCGGTGTCCGCTAGGGGCATGTACCAAAAAAAAACCACAAAAAATTGGTAATGTTCAGTATGCCATGTGTCACACCAATATAATGTGCATTTAATGTAAAATGTTTGTTCCCCAAATCATATATATACTTTATATTATCTCCAGGTTATTGTTCTAAGTAAAAGACATTTAAAGTTAATTTCTAGTAATATCTTTATTTCATATTTGCATGTCTAATTTTCTTTCAGGAGTGTACTTTGAAAAAGTTTTAAAGAGTTCAGACACTTCCCTTTGGGTGAGAAACATTCAAATGTATCTATCAGGGATTGTTGTGACATTAGTTGGCGTCTACTTGTCAGATGGAGCTGAAATAAAAGAAAAAGGATTTTTCTATGGTTACACATATTATGTCTGGTTTGTCATCTGTAAGTATCCAGGAATTAAAGGTTCTGGGGTAGACTATTTAAAGATAAAAGATGTCCATTTGAAGCTTTTATAGCATTTTGAATTTGTTCCTTTGTACTGCGAACACCAGTTTGAAAACATAATTTTGGTTTTACTGACTGAATTTTGGTTTTGCCTTCACAATCAAAGTATCTAATGTGTTAGCAGTAAATGTGTACAGTTTAGTAGTTGACCATAGAGCCCTTTGGGTATCTGAAAAACATTGTTTTATAGGAACTACTACTGAATTTTAGTATAAATTCTCTCAGATGGCTGCTTCTAAGGAAAATAGTATTTTCCTAGGTAAATTAGTATGGCATCTCTGGGGATAAAAATTGCCTCACCATCATAGAATGTTTCATTTACTTGAGCATTAAGATTTTCTTTCTTTCTATATACAAGTTCTTGCAAGTGTTGGAGGCCTCTACACTTCTGTTGTGGTCAAGTATACAGACAACATCATGAAAGGTTTTTCTGCAGCAGCAGCCATTGTCCTTTCTACCATTGCTTCAGTGCTACTGTTTGGATTACAGATAAGTATGTCTTAATTTGTATTTTAAGTTTTTAACTTGGAAAAACCTCTCACTTCCTTGATTTGTCTTTTATAAATTTTTTTTTTATTCTCACCCAAGGACATTTTTGCATTTATCTTCAGATAGAGCAGGAGGGAGGGAGGGAGAGAGGAAGAGAGAAAGAGAAGTATCGATGTGGGAGAGACATGAGTGGTTGCCACCCACACGACCCCAATTGGGGCTGGGGACAAACTGCAACTGAGGTGTGTGCCCTTACCGAATCTGGGACTCTTGGGTCCACGGGCCGATGCTCTGACCACTGAGCCAAACTGGCAGGGCCTTGATTTATCTTTTAAATGTGGCATTGGCCATGGTGTTTTATAGAAATTCCTAGTTTTGTTATTCTGTAAGTGCAGCAGTTCAAAGTTGTGTGGAGTGTGGGTCAGCAATACTTAGGTTTTTAAAAGATAGTCATAGAGCCTAAGCTGAGGGGTGCTGATTCTATGTGAAAGTGAGGGGGCTACTCAGTTACTAGAAAGAGATTTTTTTTTTTTTTTTTGCAGTCGAGGCCTCCCGATTCCCAGGTATCAGATATAAGACAACTTAAGTGCTGCATGGTGAATATATTATGATGAGGTACATGAGGAAATAAATACAAGGACTTTAAGAAATGATTACTTTCAGCAGCAGAATCAGAATAAACAAGGCTTTCTGAGGGAAGAATAGACCAATTCTTTCATTTTCCTCTTAGTTTGCACCTTCCTGTTTTGGACTTGGATGCAAACTGTTTTTGAAATTAAATTTAAATTTTCTTTTTTATAAAGATATCTTTGTTTTATTTAATATGTAATTGATACAAAATCTGTTACTATAGCTGGCATTCTGGCACCACCACTATGCTAGTCCTTCTAATATAATTGTCCCTAGCCCACATCCAACATTTAATGGGCTTCTAATTTAAGTAGTGGTGTTGACTTAACATTTAAGGGTGCTTTTATACTGTAATACTTATTTTATTTACTAATATATGAGGAAAATCTGTCAAATATTGACATTGAAAAGAAACAGACCCGGTCTTTGTCTATATTGACTCACTATAAATGCAAATAGAAGAATACCAACCTTGTAGAAATCTTAGAAAACCATTTTATAGTATGGTTCAGATTTTGCCTATGCCATTTATTAGCCGTGCAACCTCAGGGAAGGTACTAACCCATACTTCAGTTTCTTCATCTATAAAATGGGAATGGTAATTGCACCTACCTCCTAGGGTTGTCTCAGGGAAAGTGCTTGGTTGCCTGTCACATGTTAAGTATTCTGTGTAAGGCCAAACACTTACTATTTAACTATCAAGTATTTATAGGCTCTCCTTTAGATATTTTTCTTAACTGATTTGGTTGAACTTTTAATTGAAGTTCTGATCCATCCTTATGACTTTGATCCTAAGGAATATTTGGGAACAGTATAAAAGACTTTTGGTCAATGTTCTGTCTTAATGATGGTCAAGGAAATGAATTAGACTGTCTTAGCAAACTTCCACTTTCTTAGATTTAATTTACCCTTCCCCTTTTTTGAAGGTAAAGCTAGTCTTTTCTAGTTAGGGTTGAACTAAAATCCTAGCTTGATGGCATTTCTTTACATGCCATTTTAAAGCTATTAAGACTGGGCCATTATACTCCATATACAATATGCTTTTTTGAGTGGAATATACAGTTTTGTCAAAGCATTTATTTATAAAGTGACTACTGGTCACGTTTGGACAAGTAACTCAGTGGTGTCCTGGTTTTCAGGATTAAGATGATTAAAAAACAACAAAAACAAGGCTAGCAGAGCCTGGCCGGTGTGGCTCACTGGTTGAGCACTGACCCGTGCACCAAGAGGTCGCCGGTTTAATTCCTAGTTAGGGCACATGCCCACGCTGTGGGCCTGAACCTCAGTGGGGAGGCATGCAGGAGGCAGCCAATTGATGTTCTTTCTTGTTGATGTTTCTCTCTCTCTCTAAAATCAATAAAAAATAGTAAAAAAAAAAAAAAAAGTTAGCAGAAAACGGTATTTTACTTAGTAAACCTCCTCCTATTTAGAAATCTTCAGTGGTTTCAATAATTGGTCACCTAACTCTGAATTTTGCTCAACTACCTTTTGCTCTAAATTTTCATAGGTTTCTAGTGTCATGGAAAAGCCAGACTCCACTGCTCTTTCTTTTAATAAGCATATAGAGAAATTAGTATGTTCCCTGTCATAAAAATAGATTTACTTATTTTCCATATTTACATTTCATTTTAAAATTGACTCGTAATAAGTGCAAACAGGGGAATGGTTTAAACCCATAATTGAAAAGTTTTCAAAATTTTAAATTACACAAATACAGATTAAGCTTATTTTGTTTTCTTTTCAGCACTCACGTTTGCTTTGGGTACTCTTCTTGTATGTGTTTCTATATATTTCTATGGATTACCCAGACAAGACACTACATCCATCCAGCAAGGAGAAACAGCTTCAAAAGACAGAGTCAGTGGTGTGTGATTTCAGCCTCAAAAGAGATTCCTACTAAGATTAAACTAGAGCCTTAAGTCAATCCCAGAAGGTAGCTTAAACAAGAATAAAAAATTAACTCTGTGGCATAAGAATTAAGAAGAAAGCTATCTTGAGTGAACTGCTACAAAGATTTAATGTGACCTGTTTGGGGTCAACCCATTATGTTTTAGAATGAAGGAGATTTTTTACTGTATATATAATGTATATAAAAAGTATGGAGATGATATGATATGATATTAAAAAAATCATGGGAGGCTATAATATTCAAGGAACAAGGTTTGGGACAATGTTAAAGGTTAAAGTGCCAAAGCCATTTCTGTACTAACTGTTCTCTTGTTCAGGTACCAGGGGAGAAGGACGACCCCTGCTTGTTCCCCAATTCATGTACAGTATTTTGTCCCAACAGCAGTAAAAACCTAGCTTTTTAATTACAAGAGAGGCAAAAACAAGACAGGTTAGTCAGAAACAAATTGAATGTGCAATTTCTCAAACTGAGTATTTCATAACTCAGAGAGTGATTTCTGGGTGGTGACTGAGTACTCATTTAAGTGTTCATTGTGCCATTCATGGTCTGGATTCATATTTCTTTGCTTAGATGATATACTTTTCTAATGTCACTTTTGTACTTTTTTAATAAAGTATGTTTAGCTCTGTGGGGTTCTCAATAATTTATGAAATTCTGTGTTTTAAAAGAAATTTTCTATAATGTAAATCGGGAAATTCAGCAATAAACTTTATATGAAATCTGTTTGATCACCTTTTGTATTATAGATATGACCGTTAAGGTAATACAAAAACTAACTTTTAACCCCAGACATTATACTTAAAATTTTCTCTATGTTGAAATTATATTAGGGCTCTTTGGTTGCAAATAATAACTCTAAAACCAACTCTGACTAGAGAAGGTACACAATATTTGCTAAAACTATATTCATTCAACTAAAGAAGCTTGGATCATGCTAATTTCCTTCTCTATTTGTAAAAGTACACTGTCGCTGGTATTTAGAGGACTTCTATTGTAGCAACATTTAAAATAAGTTATAGTAGACCCGAATGGAAGTACTGACAGGTGAGGACAGCTGTACTGACCAAACGGATCACATCCTACTATGTTAAACTAAATAAGCCACACACAACATACTTTACCAGTATGCAGATAGATACATGAAGGAAAATGGTTTAGGAAACTCCATTTCAAATTATGGTTTAACTAATTTTTACAAAAAGATCCTAATACATACAATACCTGTACAAATAATTTCTTGTTAAACATTAGTCTGTTATAAGAATAGTTTCTGGAGGAATGACACTGTAAGAAACCTCAAAGTAGAGTTTAAACGCTAATCCTTTATTCCCATGAGACCACAATTGCATTTAAAAGATTTAACTGAATTTTATAAAAACCTATTTAGCACTTAATGACCATGAGGGAACTCAGACAATCTCTTTTTAAGGATTAAGAGTAATAAGTTGATATGTTACTTATAGACTTGAAATTAGATTCTGACACAGAATAATAGCTTAAAATCTATTGTAAACATCAAGGCATATAAGGATAGATAATTAGAATTTAGTATTTAAAAAGCCATTTTAATTAGAAATTACATCCTACATACAGGTGTTATTCCAAGAAGCTTCATTCCGTTGGCTAGGACAGAACGGACAGCTCTGAAAAGATGAAGTCTGGCCTACAAAATAAATCAAAGAATTATTAAATGTTCAATTCAGTAATAGGCTAACTATAAAGTGAATAAAGAAGAATGTTTTTGAGAGTAAATCTCACTTTCTTCTAATTTTGTTAGTCCTCACCCAAGGATGTATTTTTTTTCCCACTGATTTTTGGAGTGGAAGGGAGGGAGGAGGAAAGAAAGAGAGCCAGAGAGAGTCACTGATTGGTTGCCTCCCACATGACCCCGATTGGGGCCTAGGATGGCATACATGCCCTTGACTGGGAATCAAACCTGCAGACCTTTGGTGCATAGGCCAATGCTCTAACCACTATGCAACACTGGCAAGGGCAACTTTCTTCTAATTTAAAGTAGAAATATCTCAAGTGTCCTACGGTTTGCTGTAGGCAAGGGAATACAACTTCCTAGAGTTCCTAACAGTAACACTGGTACCCAAGGGTTGGGGTGTGAGTAACAGTATCATCTTACAGCACAGCTTTAGAGAAGGGGAACTCATTATAGTAACTTTCATGTAGGAAAATGTACTTTCATAGTTTAGAATGTTGGAAAGTATATAAACATTAATTGTCACAACCCAATTCTAATTACCTTAGACTGTAAGTACATTGCTGTAGTTGAACAATAGGATTCTATTTTAGAAACATTTGCAAGACTGACTCAGTAATATTAGTCTGGAGATTATACACAAAACACTGAGTATAACATACCCCGGCGACTTCAGGAGGACTCTCTTTTATGGGCAGTGTTCTGTGTGCCACAGCTGCAAGATGACTGAAAAGGGAAAAGAGAAACTGTAATTCGGACCAGCAATAATTTCCTGTTGTAGCATATTAGACTGATATAAAATCTTACTCCCTCAATTTAAAGATTAAAAAAAAAAATCAAAGCCTATACAGAGCCATTAAAATGTATCAAAAGTGCCAAGGTTATGGGTTCAGTCTCCAGTCAGGGCACATACAAGAAGCAAAACATGAATGCATAAATAAGTGGAACAACAAATCGATGTTTCTCTCAAATAAAAATAAAAAAAGATTATGATTCCATTATTAGTTTTACAAGTATAGGAGATTTCTTTCTAATAATGAGTTTTTCCTCATTTAGACTCCTATTAAGACGTCCTGGCCTTTCCCCCTCAGTATGGTGAAGAGGTGAGAAAGAGACTATCGGTCCACTGTGCACCGATACCAGCCACTCATCTTTAGAGTATTTAGGTATGGCAGCAAGTACAACAGTGTGCCAGATAAATGATGCTTATGACATTTGTTTCAACGATTAAGTGACATTTAATAAGACTTTTTGGCTCCTTCATCTCTATATGTCTAAGTGGAATTTAAAAGAAAAAATTATTTAAATCTGGGGGACACAGGTAAAAAGCATAATTAAGAGAACAGTCCCAAAATATCTTTGATTTCAGTAAATCGTAAGTAAAAGCAAATATTTCTTCTCAAATAGCTTTATGGGGAGATATAGCTGTCACTACAAAAGATAGTATCAACTTCTAATCAAAGTTTCTAAAATAGCTACCATGAAATTTCTATCAAAGTGTCACTGACTCGACTCTCTATTCATTCTTACCCTAACATTGACATATTTCTGTGCCTCTGCTTAAAACCTTTTTGTGGACCCTGCTGCCCTGAAAATAAGATAAAATACCTTTGTACATGGCAAAACAGCATGTAAAAGCATTTCTGATTCCTCTCAGGACTATGCTTATAGTTCCTTTAATGTATCATGTTCTTGCTTAACTCAGGGCTTTTTCCTTCTCGTCTGCCACCTTGCTTCTCCTGATAAATATCTACTCCTTTCCTCTGAAAAGCCCTCTCTGATCCCTGGAGCCTGGGATGAGTGCCCTAACATTTTCTCTCATATCCACTCTGTCCTCACACACATGCACTGTTCTGTAACCACCTACGAGGCTGCTATTTCCTGTTCACTTGACTGTAGTGATTGTACCTTATGTCACTGAGTGAATACACGAATGAATATTAATTGCTAATTTGCAAAGATGAAGCAAGAAGTCTTACAACTTAAAGCACACAATTTTTTTAGGCCAAGGGGTTTGTTTATAGGAAAACTGTAGATGAAAGGAAGGTTCTTTGTCAGGTCAGGTCTCAGATGTCTGTTTACACCTGAAAATAGCAAGGTTATAAAAGTACCTTAGAGTTAGAAGGTAACTGACAATGTGCCTGGGTTGAATGTCCTCAGATGACCTATAAAGCACTTCGTCGAACCTAAAAGAAAGAAGACAGGAACAGCTGTCAGGGGAAGACTATGCACATGTTACACTAAGCTAAGATGTTAAGACAAAGATCTAGGATGCAAGGTTGACTTACTGTCACTAAGGGTAGAAAGTATATGAAAAAAGACCTTGTGTACAGTTGAAGGTAAAGGCACATTTCTCTCTTACAAATTCCTTGATGGCAGGTACTTTCTAAATCATCTTTTTATCCCTTAGGCCTAGTTCAGCACAAGGACTAAAATCGTGGCTGTTAAAAGGAATGTAAAAGCAGCTTAGTGATGTTTAGGAGCATAATCTAGAAACTAGAAAATAGCCTACCCTCAATGCCAAGAAAACCAAATTGGCTTATTTTTCCTCACAAAATTAGCCAAATGTGAGTAAACTAACTCCTGATCCCAGGAAAGAACCACTGACTACTGTGGCAATCAGATAAAACTGCCTTGTTAACTGCCCACATCCCTTCCAAAGACTGATCTCTCCTCACAAGTCTGGCTTCACTAGTATTGCTCAAAGGTGTGGTCTCTTGCCCAGTATGAGGGCATCAGACAGAAGCATATTTGAAACTGTAAATTGAAACCAAGAGCTAAATGAAAGACTTAGGGTCTCAAGGAAGCTGTGCAAAGGCAGGGATTTTCCTTCACTTATCACAGAGGGTGAGAAGATGATCTTTTAAAAGACTAAACAGTTATGTTTTTATCAGGGTTCACTTTTTCATACTATTACCTAAGGATAGTAGGCACCTAGGCTAATTCAGTGGTGGTATTATTTTTAAGACCTAACTACTGACCATTAGCATGCCCTCTTGTGTGCCTTCAAAGGGCAGACAATCATTTTTTGGTCTGCCTTGAGGAAAATGTTTAGAGGCAGGAGACAGGAGCTAGCTATTGGCCTGTTCATTCCAGTGGTCAGCAAACTACCAATAGTCATTCTGCAACTGTACCCTCTCTCATCTCTGCAAGTTAGATCTCTGTTTTTCTCCTAACAGCTATATTAACCCATCCATTCCCTTGTAGCCATAGGTTGCTTAATGTTTAAACTGTGGGGTTTAGCAAGATTGTGACCAGTACCTGGGTTAATAATTTGTGACCTACTGGTCAAACAACAGTTTCAGGAAACCATAGATAACATCTCAATTCAATGTTTCTGCTTCAGAGAAAGGAATGGTTACAGGACAGTAATTACAAGCTGATTTTGCAGAAACCAGTGGAGATAATGGTGGAGACTCAATACCACCCCTGGCACATGTGACTCTCTGACAGCATCTCAGAATCTACTTCTTGAGACCTTATCAAGAGATCAAAGACCACAGGAATTTACCCTAACTCCCCGTCCCATTCCCCTTTTTCAGCTTAAAAATCTTTAACCTAGTCTAGTAGTAAGATGTATCTGAGGCACTATTAGGTCTCCTATTTTGGTGTCTCCTAGATCAATAAATTCCAAACTTTGATGTTCTGAGTTGGCTTTTCAAAGCATTGGGCACAGGAACCTGAATTCAGCATCAATTTCACTAAGCAGAAGGTGACTCAATTAATACTAAAAAGTCATACCTGAGAAGATGCTGGAGAATTGAAACAGACTGTGGCTCTTGTAAACAAGCAGTGTTGAAGTCATTTAGATAACCGCATCCAAAAGTCGTTTCCAAACTGTTATCAAAAGTTTTAAAACAACAAAGGATTAAGCAAATCATCCAAGGACACTTCATTGGAAGTGATGAACACCATCTCATAACACAGTCTCGCTCTCCTTAATGTATAGTCATGTCACATAATGCTGGTCTAACCATGGACCACATATAAAATGGTGCTCCCATAAGATTATAATGGAGCTGAAAAATTCCTATCGCCTAGTGATGCAGCCATCATAATGCATTACACAAATACTTATCACTGTGTTACAACTGCATATAGTATTCAGTATAGTAGCATGCTGTATAGGTTTGTCGCCTAGGAGTTGTAGGAAAACAGAAGCTGTCACCCCAAAATATGTCTATTTGGTTTAAGGTTTATTACACTGATTAATTTTAAGAGACAGTAGATATGGGAGAAACTCTGAAAATCAAGTAGAAGTTATTCTTTGTAAAAGACATTTACATTTGTAAGAGAAATCTCCATTTGTAAGGGTGTCTTCCTGCTGTACCCTGAAGATAAGGATGACCTTATTTCTAGAAACTTTTCAGTGCAGAAGACCAGGACTTAAACCTGCATAACAACTTCACCCTTTTTTTTTTTTTATTCTCACCCGAGGACATTTTTCCATTCTTTGTTCAGGTAGAGTGGGAGGGAGAGAGAGGAACAGAGAGAGAGAGAGAGACATCGATGTGAAAGGAACACATTAAGTGGCTGCCACTCGCACAACCCACCAGGGCCGGGGACAAACTGCAACCGAGGTACGCGCCCTTAGCGGCAACGGAACCCGGGTCTCTCAGGACCGCAGGCCGACGCTCTAACTGCTGAGCCAAACCAGCCAGGGCAACAACTTCACCCTTTTTTACTGTGCCTTTTCTGGTAACCACCTTCCATAACTGACCACCTTCACCCACAACATCTTTTGTCTTCACCTGAAGAAGGATTTTAAGGTAGTGGCTTCAGGCATTTCTGGCGAGTAACTCAATTTTCCTGGGTCTTTTCCATGTATACAGGAGGTATATAGGTTATTAAACTAGTTTTTCTTCTACTAATTTGTCTTTTGTTATAGGAATATCTCAATCAGGAACTCAGAGGGAAGGGAACAGGGAAATTACTTCTGCTCCCCTACAGAGCAGCAGGCTATATACCATACAGCCTAGATGTGTGTAGTAGGCTGTACCATCTGGGTTTGGGTAAGTGCACACTATATAGTGTTTGCACAACCATGAAATCACCTAAGAATGTATTTCTCAGAATGTATCCCTATCACTAGGTGAAGCATGACTGTGGTGCTGGTCTTTAAAGCTAACACTGTTCAATCTGATGCCTCAATTTTTCTTTTTTTGTAAAAAAACTTTTTTTTTCTTTTTTTTTTTCTTTCTTTCTTTTTTTTTTTTTATCCTCACCCGAGGACATTTTTCCATTTTTTGTTCAGGTAGAGTGGGAGGGAGAGAGAGGAACAGAGAGAGAGAGAGAGAAACATTGACGTGAAAGGAACACATCGAGTGGCTGCCACCCGCACAACCGACCAGGGCCGGGGACAAACTGCAACCGAGGTACGCGCCCTTAGCGGGAACCGAACCTGGGTCTCTCAGGACCGCAGGTCGACGCTCTAACCGCTGAGCCAAACCGGCCAGGGCATTTTTTTTAAGAGAGAGGAAGGAATAGAGAATGACAGAGAGAGAAACACTGATGTGAAAGAGAAACATTGATCGGTTGCCTCCTGCACTGGCAACTATCAGGGATCAAAGGTACAACATGGGTATGTGCCCTGACCGGGAATCGAATCCACCACCTTTTGGTGTATGGGATGAAAGCCATACCAACCAGTGCCCGCTCCCTCAATTTTTTCCTATATCTGTTTTTTTAAATCTGAAAACGGAGTATAATCTTTGGTAGGATTATTGTGAGTACTAAATAGAGTAATATGCATAAAAGCATTTCCTACATAGGTGCTCAATAAATATTTTTAAAACTCCACACAAACGCAACATAACTGGTAGTCAGTCCACTGTATTTTAACTAGTTCTGAATATGAGATATCAGAGAAGGCCAGAAAACAGGGCCTTTGGTCTTAGGATTGCAGCGGCCAAGCCCCACTCTGGGGAGGGCAGAGTGGCCCAGTGTTTCCCTGTAGCCTCTTCTCACCTGTGAAGGCGGGCGTGCGTGTACTGTAGGAAGACCCCTGTATCCCCACGACTCTGGAAAACACGATCCCAGCTGAATTGATAGTCAGATAAGAGTAAACCTCTGAAGTCCTAAAATGACAAGAGTAAATCTTCAGTGCTGGGACCTGTTCTACTACCACACAAAAGGGTCTCCTAGGAAGCAGTCTAACAGACCTGAATAATGAGTGCTGCAAGCCCGACCCTCTCCGCAGTCTCTTGTGGGTTCTCTAGTTCTTTGGTAGCTGAAACAGACAAAGGTGGCTATCGTTAACCTGCATGAAATTACACAGAGTCAGGGACTGAGGTGGAGAGAAGATCTGCCATAAATGGATGCTGGCAGTATCAAAAACAAACAGGTTCATAGTGGGCAATTAACTTTCCCAATTTGGGCTAATTTACCTTTTCATAATAACAATTCCCCTGCCTTCATTAACAGGAAAAATACATGAGTTTATTTTTCTTATAAATATCTCTTATAAGATAGTAGACATAGTTGGCACTTATTTTTCCAAGGGTGAAAGTAAAGCCATAAGGACTTGTGACTTGTTTCCAATTATGTAACGGGACTTCATAGAACTACACTCAACAATAGAATGATAATCTGAAGCTATCTACAGAAAGAGGCAAGGGGTAATATCAATTCAGATTACTGAATTGAACAATACTCGAGCAGCAAGTCTAAAAATTCTGGCACCTCTAATTAGTGCAAGCTCTTTTTTGGCAAGGTAAGTGAAAATTCAATGGAGGAATGGCCGTAATAAATCACACTGCACAAAAATCCAGCAAAATATAAAAGTGGCACATAAGTAATGACTATAACAACAAAAAAGTGAACTCACTCTTTTTCTTTCTTTCTTTTTTTTTTTTATCCTCACCCGAGGACATTTTTCCATTCCTTGTTCAGATAGAGAGGGAGGGAGAGAGAGGAAGAGAGTGAACTCACTCTTAATGGAAGCCATATTCTGTAGCATCCTTAATCGTATCTCATTTAAGACATCTTCCAGGAAAGTAACATCTCCTCTTCGAGTCTTCATTCCCTTTACTACTCCAAAGGGCACATGCTGGCACCTGAAATGGAATAGGCATTTAGTTAACTAAAAACAAAAAGAGCTAGTGATCAAAGTATAGAATAATACTATTTAGAGAGTAGTCCAAAATTCAACTTTCTTAATAGGTTTTTAAAAAAATTAATAGATTGAAACATGATGTGATTTGTTGTATGCCATAAAAGATGTTAAACACACAGCATTGCTTTAGATAATCACTAGCATGTAATTAAATTCCTTGTTGCCGCCCTGGCCAGTTTGGCTCAGCGGTTAGAGCGTCGGCCTATGGTCCGGAGAGACCTGGGTTCGGTTCCCGCTAAGGGCACGTACTTCGGTTGCAGTTTGTCGCTGGCCCTGATTGGTCGTGCGGGTGGCAGCCACTCGATGTGTCCCTTTCACGTCGATGTTTCTCTCTCTCTCTTTCTTCCTCTCTCTCCCTCCCACTCTATCTGTACAAAAAGATGGAAAAATGTCCTCGGGTGAGGATTGAAAAATAAATAAATAAAAAAAATAAAAATAAATTCCTTGTTGCCTTTATGAAGAACAGGAGATGGGGGTTAAGAATTTTGAAAATCAAGCCACCTCTAAGAGTAGACATCTAATAAAAACATATTTATTAAATGTTTATAAGCTAGGTACTAATACAGCCAAGGCATAAATTAACACATGAATGCAAAAAACCTAACTACTTTTCCACAGTAACATTTTGAAACAAGTGAAGTTTTAATGAAAATCTTTAACAACTTGGCACATTTTTGGATTGGCTGACCTAACAATGACCCTAAGGCAGGTAATTAGAACCAAGTACATATTACCTTTTTGCCCAGTCATATCCCATGATCTGCAGTATTTGGAACACTTGCTGAAAATGCCTTTTTTGCCCTTTATCTGTCTTTGGGGAAAACAAGTATTTAAAATAAAAGAACAGTGATAGGTTAATCTACAAAAATATGTTGGACATGAATCAAATTAAAATGTTTGCGGTCTGACAGACTACAGGCATTGCCAATTGATGTTTTAAACACAAAGAGGATACCACCAAAAGAATGTTTAAGCTGAGTGCACTAGACAAGAAGTAGAACTGCTGCACTCCACTGAATAAAGAGGAAATTCGAACTTTAATATTCTGAGTATTCTATTTAAATTCCTTCTCTCCCAGCTGTTATGACTTCATCTCAAAGAAGAACAAAGCTAAACCCTAAAAAGGTATTTAATGGCAACATTTTTTCTTAAGGAATAGGGAGGTTGCACATGGAAGGAAAGGGAAGAGGAGACTAAAATACTATTCAGCAACAAATGGAACGTACTATTGGTACATGCAACAGATTAGGCGGATCTTAAGTGCATTCATGATGAGTGAAAAAAGCGAATTTCAAAAGGTCACGTACTGTGAGTTCATTTATATAACATACACAGTGACAAAACTGTAGTGATGAAGAACAGAGCAGTAGTTGCCAAGGGCTAGTGTTGGGAAGAAGGTGTGATTATTAAGTAGTTGCCATGATGGAGTTTGTTTTGTGATGGGACAGTTCTGTATTCTGAACATGGTGATGGTTATGTGAATCTACAAGTTATAAAATTTCACAAAAACACCACAAATACACACATTCAGGCCCATACATTAGTCATGTAAAAACTGGCAAAATTTAACTAAGGTCTCTTGCAATGTCAATTTCCTGGTATGGACCAAGTATTATGATTATGTAAGATTATCTTAGGGGAAGGCTAAGTACAGGGCATATGAAAACTGCCCTATTTTAAAACTTCTTGTCTTAAAATATTTAAAATAGAAAGTTATTTTTCTAAGTACATTACAGTGACCTATACGTATTCATTTCACATAACCACTTTCCTGATTTGGGCAATTTGGTTTTTATTATGAAGCAATGTGAACTTTTTCATTTTTATGTTGTTTTTTAAACATGGTTGCCACCTTAAACACACTTAATTTTTAACTCTTTCTGTGGTTTGACAAAATTATTTTTCCATAGTTTCTCAACATGGCATCCAATTTCTATCTTTTCAGTTTCCATGAGGTAGGGATCATAACATTTTGTCATTTACTGTGATTACTTACCACATAAATCATTGTATCAAAATTGTATTTGTCCATTCGATCTATAGCAGCTGCAAGATCTCTGAAAAACAAAAAAATAGGCCATAAATTGAAGAGTTACTAAGCAGATCTGGGTAATAATTTGTTTTACCTATTAATACAAATGAGGCTTTTCTAATTAAGAACTCCTATTACACCACAGCCTGGGATATACTACTCATGCCTGTATAATCCCAATATCATACCTTAATACCAAGTAAAAATAACAAAAACAGCTTTGGGAAAAGCAATAACAGTAAAAGTACTATGAAAATATTAAAAAAAAACCATAAATGAATAAGAGCTCTGGGACAAGTAGTAATAAAAACTAAAATAGCTGTAAGCAAAGTATCTGTAGGTAAATGTTTTAGGATTTGTTAATTATAAAAATAAATAATTTATTGCAAAGAATCACCTAATTGTCACTTATCTGCAATATACTCTCTTAAAGAACGTTTTTAAAACACAGATGATATAGTAGCTAAAGAGCATCTTCTAGCTACTCTTCTATGAGTATAATCAATGAGTTTCAAAGTCTTGGATCAGTCGTAATACCTTCTAAAGCATTTTAAAAGATCATAAAGTACTTTGACAAAAATTCCATTTATCTCTGATTAAGTTCAAAAGACACAATTTACATGTAATATAAAATAATAAAAAATAAACCATAAACTATGAAATTTCAAGTCAAGATTATGAAAATACTGAAATGTAAATAAAGCTATTTTTGACAATATACAACACTGGGAGGACTTAAAAAGTTCCTAGATCTTTTGAAATGTTGGGATCATCATTAGTACCCACCTCATAATCTTGATATAACACAAAACATGCATTCTCAATGGAGGCAAAAACTAGCTCTTAGGGGACAAAAAAAAAAAATCCTACTCTTTGTATGTATAAAGTACATATTTGCATACAATACATCTAGATATATATCTGCGATATTAAAATTCATGAGCATGATAAGTAGAAAAAAGGTTCCTGAGAGTGGTTATAAAAAAAAAAGATGTGAAACTGGTATAGATTATTCCAAAAATGAAGTCATATACATATACCTCCATTATACTTTTTGGTTTGAGTGAAGGACAAAACAGAGAAACCTTTTGATCCAATGAAAGAATAAAAGAGTAGAGCATAAGAAAGAGATGTGGGTTGAGTTTATAGAACTTGAATTTGAAAGCCAGAAGATATGCCAGGCCACTTAGTTCAGGTCTCTCATTTCACAAAGTGTGGAACCATGGCCCAGAGAGGTAAAGTGATGGGCATGGTCTCAGAACAAAAGTTCAGGTATCCAGCCTCACCCTATGCTCTTGTCAGTATTTTATACTTTTCTTTGTTATAACAACTTCTTTAATTCACATCTGCACACATAGATATATTCTATAAGGAACCCATTGAAAGGACAGAAACTAAAGATAGAGTAAGGTGAAAATTAAACATTTCAACAAGTGGAAAAAATTATTCTCCCAAAGGAAAAAGAGAAAGTATAGGTGTTAAATACAATTGGTCCTCTGTATCCATGAGTATTACACCCACAGATTCAACTATGGTTACATTGTGGATATGTACTATGCAGTTAAGACTACTCTATAATGGCTGCATCTGTACTAAACATGTACAGACTTTTTTCTTGTCATTATTCCCTAAACAATACAGTATAACAACTATTTACTAGGTATTCTAAGTACTCTAGAGATGATTTAAAGTATACTGGAAAATGTGCGTAGTTTATATGCAAATACTACACCATTTTATATTATGCACTTGAGCATCTGTGGATTTTGGGATTTGTGGAGCATCCTGAAACTAATCCCCATGGATACTAAGGGATGACTGTACACAGAAAAATCTAGACCTAATAGCCACAAAAAGATACCAGATCAGGACAGTTACAGGGTCTTCATGTCATGGAGCTTTCATTCTGAGTGGACACGTTTCTTTTCTTTTTTAATCCTCACCCGAGGACATTTTTGCATTTATCTTCAGATAGAGTGGGAAGGAGAGAGGGAGGAAGAGGAAGAGAGAGAGAGAGACATCGATGTGAGAGACATTGAGTGGTTGCCACCCACACGACCCCAACCCGGGCTGGGGACAAACTGCAACCGAGGTACGTGCCCCTAGCGGGAACTGAATCCGGGACTCTCGGGTCTGCGGGCCGATGCTCTAACCACTGAGCCAAACTGGCCAGGGTGTGAGTGGACACATTTCTTATAACCACTGCTCATGTGTTTCTTTTGTAATCTGTCCAGCGAAAATTAGCTGGCACAAAAAATTGTTCTACTATATATTTTTGTATCTAGAAAAAGAAAGGTACCTTTTAGATACATAGGTTATTGGGGGTTATTTCTCACCCCCAATTGTATAGAATTGATAAAGGGGAATGTCAAAAAGTAATAGAAAGTAGATGCATTTTCTAAGGGAGAGTAAGAAAGAAGGATGGTTGTTTAAAGTTGTTTTGAACAAATGATAGTAGTTAACAACAGTAAAATGTCATTACTTTATGCTATAAAAGAGGTTTGTGATGTAATATAAAACTAGCCTGGGAGACACTAGAGCCTTTTGCCACATTGCTTGAGTATGACCATGTTTGCTTGTGTGGCTTTTTTATTGTCCTGTATTTTCCTTTCTATTAGCTTTGTCTCAGAAATAAGTGTGCTTGGACAAACCTAATTCTTACTGAGTAACAGAGATTGCTCGTTTCTCCAGGAGTTAGTCATGGAGAAGAAAAAAATGTGACATGGCCAACTTTCTCTTGGCCTATTTTACCACAATCAGAATGAGGACTGGTACATATGTGCATGTAAAATGGATGGTCTTTAAAGAGTGAGAAAACCACTGAGATCACATGGCCACCTTCCCTGCCAACATGCAATTTAAAAATATTTATAGTTGATTATGAGGTATCTGAGTTTTAGAGTTTGTAGAATAACGTATTCAGCTGTGGAATCCTGTGATGTTTAACTAATTGTAAATCGTTTTTAGCCACTCTTCTTATAACTTTTAACCTTTCCAGGAACTATAACTGGCAACAAACAGAAACTCAATATATTTTGAGTGATGAGAACAAGAGATTTAGAAACTAGCATTTACTACCAGTTTTGAGGATAAAATGTCTTAGCATTAATTCTAGAACAAATAACATAAACAAATAACACATTCTTATGTTGACCTTCATGTAAGATACAAACCTGGTTGCATAGAGAGAAGTCCCATCACTTCGCATTACAGTACAAATTGAGGAGGGGTCACTATTCCCAGAAAGATCCACTACAGCTGTTCCTTTTCTAGAAATGCAAAAAAGGTGACTCTGAAGTAACATAATAAAGTAAGACCCTTAAAAGTATAATATCTACAACATAATCTTTGGCAAACCAGAAGCTATTACTTAAGTACCAATAAGTAGTATAACAATAAAGAAAAAACAAGGTGGAATCTGACCATCAATCTATAAAGAGTGGATATGATGTAATAAATAAATATATATATTTTATCCTCACCCAAGGACATTTTTCCACTTTTGTTCAGATAGAGTGGGGAGTGAGAGGAAGAGAGAGAGAGAGAGAGAGAGCGAGAGAGAGAGAGAGGGAGAGAGAGAAACATTGATGTGAAAGGGACACATCGAGTGGCTGCCTCCCGCACAAGCCCAACCAGGGCCTGGGATGAATCACAACAGAGGTACATGCCCTTGACCAGAATTGAACCCACGACTCATTGGTCTGTGGGCCAACACTCTAACTGCTGAGCCAAACCTGCCAGGGCATAATTAATATTTTTAAAAGATAAGTTTATCTTTTAAAAAATCTGTAACTCTGGATAAGTTACTTAATGTCTTTAATATACCTAGTTGAAAAATGAGATTACAACTGCAGTTTAATCAAAAAACATCACATTTTCCCTCTAATTCCAGGTATTATAAATTGGCCTATTTTATGAAATATTGGGCTAGCTTGGACATGTCATAAAGTACCTGTAATAAATCCATGACATTTTTTAATTGTCTTTCCTGCTTGATCAAAAATTAGAATTTGTGTATGGCAATCTAAAAATTTTCATTAAGGACATTGCTGAGGATATTATGAAACAGTTTCCATGTCTTCCTTATAAAAATAGCAAAAGAAATTTCTCTTTGGCATGTCTAAGCAACTGTTTTGTTTCTATATTACAGATGCCTGAGCTCCTATGACTGGTACTAATCCCAGTGTGTATTATATAATTTACTAATATCACCTTGACTTCATATTATTTTCTGCCCCTGCTTCCTGATTTTCTCCTTTTTATCTTTCAAAAGCTTGTTGTATATCTATTTTCATAAGCTGCCTTAAATCTTTTTTGAAAAGGATGGAATTTTTTTTTTAAAGGCAGGGTTAAGTAAGAAGATGTGAATTCTATTTCCTTTTTATAGTTATACCATTATTAACGTGTGTGACCTTAGGCAGGTCACGTGTAACTGCTGTTCTTATTCTGCTCACGTGTAATGGGCAGATAACATAATTTTCCAAACCTTACCAGAATTTTGTTACTGCAGCAAAAAACAGCATGTGTGAAAGTACTTTGACAGCAAAAAGCACTATTAAAAAAATGCCTGAAGGCACAGCACATACGGTTGTCCTTACTGAGTGAATATATCAATACCAATTTCAAAAAAGAACAAATAACTTTACCAAAGAACAGTAACCTGATCATACATTGTTTTCTGCAGGAGTCCTTTACTGTCCAGCAACTTTAAGACTTCTTGAGATTTTTCACGATAAAATGATTCTCCTGAGTATTCATCAAAGTGTACTCCTAAACGCTAAAAGGGTTCAGAAACAAAAGTTACTTTAATGTCCAATTATCTTACCCTAAGACAAACTAGGATGCTGTACAGTGTGTCACACAGATCTAGCCACTCCTGTGTTCTAACCTTCCAAAGACTCCTCCTATACCAGTCATGTCCTCAAAACAGTACTGTGCTGTCCAATATGGTAGTTGTAGGCACACAAGGCTATTCAAATTCAAAGGAAATAAAATTAAACGTTTAGTTTCTCAGTCACATTGCTCACACTTCAAGTGCTCTGTGGCCACACAAAGCTAGTGGCTACCATACCGGACAGAACAGATACAGAACATTCCCATTATTGCATCACACCACACGAAACTAGATTGGAGAGCCCTGGAAAACATCCTACATTATGTCCCACCCTAGAACCTCTTCGACCTCCTCTCCGACTATCCTCATCTTGCTTACCTACTCCAGCCACATGGGCTTCTTTATGGAAACTCCCCTCAATCCACCCAAAGCATGCCTGACCTCTTCTTCTTCCTTAATTTTTCTCGATAGCATCATTATCATCTAACAGACTATACATTGTTGTTTAATTTACAATGTCTTTATTTAACTCTCTCCATCTCCATGCTAGAATGTAAAGTCCATGAGAAAACTTACCTCTTTTATTCACTGTTATATTTTCCCATGCCCTAAAATGTTTATTAAATGAACAAGTTTGTATCACATATAGGCCTAAGGAAGCAAATGAAGAAAAAATGATGAAGAAAAAGTAAAGGAATGATAGGAGAGAGAAAAGAAAAGCCACACTGAAAAGAAGTATCAGAATGTCACCTGATATTCAAAGTTCACAGGCTTCAAGATTATTTCATAGCTCTAACTTTCAGCCCAAAGAACAATATTTGAGTTCTAATTTCCAACTCAATGACAAATCTATTCTTAAACCATGAATTTAAGAAGAAACCTGGCTACCTGGTGTACCAGTCAAGAACTCACCACATCACAGGACAGCAGGAGTGGACAGGTACCTTGTAAATCCGAATGTACTCTTCTACGCTCAAGTCCCGAAATTTCTGCCATAGTGCAAGTGCCTGCATGTCACCGAGTTCTAATCGCTGGAAGAATTCATGTGCTGATTTTGCTACACTCTTATCTTCTGTTGCTTCTTTATTAACTTGTACATAAACCTAAAAGTACAACAGTACATTACACAAAATATATACTAGTCAACAGTTATCTTCAATAAGGAAAAAAAGAAAATAAAAACCATCCTGAAAAATTCTCATTTAAAGGTTATCCAACTACCCTCATCATAGAGTGTAACATTTTCTTTTTTTTGCCATGAGCCTTTAAGTGAGCCCTAGACCCCTTCTCAAAATGCTTCTAAATACATAAAAATACAAATATCTACAAAGGAAGTAATTACACTAAAATACAGTTATCTGCCCTGGCCAGTATGGTTCAGCGGTTAGAGCGTCAGCTTGCGGACCAAAGAGTCCTGGGTTTGGTTCCCGCTAAGGGCATGTACCTTGGCTGCAGTTTGTTCCCGGCCCCTGTTAGGGTCATGTGGGTGGAAACCAGTAGATGTGTCTCACATCAATGTTTCTCTCTCCCTCACTTCCTTCCTCTCTCCCTCCTGCTCTATCTGAAGATAAATGCAAAAAAAATGTCCTCGGGTGAGGATAAAAAAATATATATATATAGTTATCCAAATATTTTTTTTAAAAATTTTAAGATACAGTAATGAAGGAAAATGCTAACTTTCTGATAGCGGTTAGTGAAAATAATATGTAATTTTTTCTTCCCACCCAAGTTCACAGACCCTTATATTAAGAAAGCCTGGCTTAGACTAGACTAGCATGTCGTCTTCTTTTTTAAAGTCAAATTGTTATTGCTGCAACTTCTCTGAGAAAAGGTTGAAGACAGTAGGATGGCTTAATCTGGCAAAGAAAAGGCCAAAGGATGATTTAGCAGTTGTTTTAATGAAAGGTTTTTTTAAACTATCCTCTAAATCCACAAAAGACCAGTAAAATAGGTGATCTAGGAAGACTTTTTGAATATTAGCTTAATTTTATTCCTCAGACCTGTGCAGAGCAGTCACTGCTGGAGTGTTTTTATACCATCTGCCTTGGCTGGTTTAGCTCTGCACCCACCCAATGACAGGAGTGGAGCTGGAGAGCTTAGTAAGAATCTTGCGGTTCTAGCCTGTGTTCACAACACAGTTGTTAATCATTTTCTAGTCTCTGAAATGCAAGGTTAAATATCAACATTATAGTTCAACTAGTTTTGAAGTTATGCATATGAACTAGTTGTGCATTATTTACTAGTTGTAACTCACTTCCAGAGAGAAACATGAATAATTTTACTACCCTCATATTTTTTCCAGAAAACTATTAAAGTAGCATGAAAGTAATAAAAATTGACAAATAAATTAGAGAGAGAAAGACCTCTAAACTCTTACAGTAATATCAAAATATTGTGGCAGGAGCATTTAAATAGAAAATGCTTTGATTGTTGGAGAATACACTAGGTTGAACAGAATGTGGCTTATACCCATGAGATACTACCAACATAAGGGACAGGGCATTAAACATCTGTCTCAAGGTAAAAATGTCTCATCTTTCATAGATGGCTTGTGTTAATTACTGGAATGGCAGAACTGAATGAATACATACCTAAGGGTAAAAACAACTTTAATATTTTTTTTCCTCTTTGAAGTATAATGTGTAGAAAAGAGTTAATATGACAGGCCTGAGACTGATATCTTTAATTTTTTTAATCCTCACCTGGGGACATTTTTACATTAATCTTCAGATAGAGCTGGAGAGAGAAAGGGAGGAAGAAAGAGAGGGAAACATCGATGTGAGAGAGACACATTGATTGGTTGCCACCCACACAACCCCAGCAGGGGCCAGGACGAACCACAACTGAGGTATGTGCCCTTGGTCCACAGGTGACGCTCTTACCGCTGAGCCATACTGGCCAGGGCCTGAGACTGGTGTCTTTAAAATGTGCTGTTTGTGCCCTGGCCGGTTTGGCTCAGCGGTTAGAGCATCAGCCCGTGGACCAATGAGACCCAGGTTCAATTCTGGCCAAGGGCACGTACCTCAGTTGTGGTTCGTCCCAGGCCCAGGGTCACGCAGGAGGCAATCGGTCAACATGTCTCTCTTGTATAGATGTCTCTCTCTCTCTCTGTGTCTTTCTCTCTCCCTCCCTCCTACTCTGTCTAAAGATAAGTGGAAAAATATCCTCAGGTGAGGATTAAAAAATAATAATAATAAATAATAAAATAAAATATTCTGTTTGCAAGGTTAGCCCAACTAGCATCTGGGAACTTGGATTTTGGGAATGTTTCCACCAACCTGTTAAGAGTGTCTCACTGTGCCTAAACTGTGCAAACAATATGGTTTATGCTAAACATCTGCTTTCCTTCTGGGAATTTGAATTTTAGTACAGGCTACATAGAAGGTACCTACATGATCCTCCAATAGAAACCTTGGGCATAGAGCATCTAAATCAGCTTCCCTGGTAGACAACATTTCATATGCACTGTCACAATTTGTTGCAGGAGAAATTAAGTGCATCCTATGTGACCCTACTAAGAAAGAACTCTTGGAAGTTTGGGCCTCGTTTCCTCTAGATTTATCCCTATGTGCCTTTTCCCTTTGTACATTTTGCTTTGCATCCTTTTGCTGTAATAAATAATAGCTATGAGTACAATGATATGCTCAGTCCTGTGAGTCCTCCTAGTGAATCATGGAACCTGGGAGTGGTCTTGGGAGACCTGACAACACACCATAAAAATTAATTTCCATACGGTCCTATGAATAAGTCCAAAATAAGTCAGTTAGAAAACAGAAAAAGATGACTTTGGTAAGATGCAGGAAAACTGGGAGAGTCAATATAGAACACTAAATTGCAAAGTCCCTGATTTCAGAATGACCTATCCATTAACAACTGTTTAATACAGGCATACAGACATACTTCAAGACATTGTGGATTCACTTCCAGACCACTTCCATAAAGAGAGTTGAAATCTTTTTGATGGAGAGTCTTACCTTAAATTTGTAAAAAAAAAAAAAAGAAAAAGGAAAATTACCTACAACTATGAAGAGCAATAAAGCGAAGTGCAATATAATGAGGTGTGCTTGTAGTCCAGCCTACAAGAGTAAAGACATATATATATGGCATGTGATTCAAAATCAATCTCTCTCTTTCATACACACACACACACACACACACCTTATATGCAAACATACACAAAATATTCTTATTTTCAGAAGAGGAAAAATTTTAGTTTTTTAAAATCTAGGACTCTAAACTCAAATAGCCAAACATTTAAAACTCTAACAAGCATTCAAACTACTGATAATATTTTTAGAAAAAACTTAACCAAAATCTCTTTCCTTTTTTAAAGTTTAAAATAGAAATAATTAAAACAAAACATAAAAATCCCTTCTAATACTTTAAGAATCTTGCATTTCAGCAACCTGTAGTTATAAACTAAGTATTACTGAAAATCAACTGACAGTGTCAAACAACAAAAAGCCTTAATTAGCACTATATCTGCTTGTAAAGGCACAATATAAAACTGTAATTAACATTCATCACTGTTCTAGAAAAGAAATGCCTTTTCCTTCATAAATAAATTTAATACTAGCACTTCTGAAATTATTTTTTTCAATTTACAACTACGACAAACCTTTTACTCTTAGAAAGTAAGTATTTTGAAGATAGCTTTCCTTTTGAGACTAGAGCTAGACAAGACGAAGGGAATAAAAAGGAAATTTTAAATTTGGATTTGATAATAAGAGAATATGATTTAAGCAAAGTGTTTCTGAAGATGGGAACACATTTTTCTTTGTTACTAGAATGCAAAAGCCAGTTATTTTCCCATCAGGGAATAAACTAAATATCTGAGACCTCCTTAAAGAAATATTAACCTCTTCCTTTTATTATTTCTAGATGTTGGATGGCGAAAAGCCTATGACATTTATTTCTAATTTAATCAATTAAGACAATTACAGTCAACTCTTGGGATGACCTGCACAAATGTAAAGAAATAAGCATAAAAAATAAAAGTAGTAGATAAAGTCCTGTTACTCCATAATCCCTTAAATTTGATTCTAAAATACCATTAGCCACATAGGCACAGTCTATTTCCTTGGGGCAGGACTATAACCCTGTCCCTAGTTATTTTTTTCTTAAAACTCAGAGTAACTGTTAGGATGGTTAGCATAACTTGGACACTAAAGACCCTTTTGTCTTCATATATCTGTCCTCTCAAAATGTATTTAATTTTTAACTCATTCTTTAGAAAAGCATGTATAACTAATTCATGATTATAATTCAAACAAGCTCACTGTTAGTTTAATTTTGCTTCATGTCTTGGTTGAGACAGATTCCTATGTTAAATGAAATATTTAAAAAATTCAAACAAATTAATATAATTCTAATTTAATATATGAATACATCAAACAGTTAAAGTCAAAGTTTGCTAGGTGAAAAATATAACTCACTTGAAGTAATCCATTAATTGTGAAATTTCTCATTAGTATGTAATAGCAGCATAGAAACAGCATTTTACCATTCATTCATTTTCTTCATTTAAAATCTATTTGTATTATCTGTATATACATATAATAATCTCTATGATATATTGCCCCTTCAACCAAGAGTGATAATTATTAACTTCTTGAGATCATCATGCATTAGTGCTTAATAGATATACTTCTCAAACTGAAAAACATGTTTTTGTACATTTCAATGGGGTGGGATAATTACTGAACTATTAACATGTATCCTGATCTTGCTAGGTATTTCCATCCTCGTTCTAAAAACACTTAGAGGACAATGAGACACTGTAGTGCTGTCCCAGAGGAGCATGGGTTAGAGAAAAAATCAACTTTGGGGAGGATTGTGAAGAGCAATGGTGAAGCAAAGAAGCTTCCCGGAGAGAGGGAAGAACTGTCTAGATTGAAGATGGGTATGGGAACACTTCCAGGAACAAGCAGAAGCTGAGCAGCCCCTGAGGTGGCAACAGGCCCTCAGAGAAAAATGATTTACAGTGTCCCTAAGAGGGAGGCTGGTCTATAGGCCTGTGGAACTAGGCCACAGCAAGGACCTCCCAGGGGAAGCTCATCACACAAGCATGTGTGCCTGCAAGGCGTTATGTAGGCTTGGATCT